AAATATCAATATCTCTGTTTATATTTTATATTTAATAATGATGTAATTGTTAAATTTAATAACGTTAATATTTAAATTGATAAAAGTTATCTATCAGCTTTCGGCTTCTATGCATATACGCATATATTATGTTATAAATCAATATTTTTAATTTTTCGGATTAGAATATAAGTAATTACCCGTCATCGAAGATGTGAAAGTTTCTAAAGTATAAATAATATGTTTTTTATTTTTTTTAGTAATAATGACAATGCGTAAAATTTTAGTTTAAATTTGCCAAATAATGAAAATTTCGTTTCAATGTCAAAAATGTCTAAAAGTAAATTTACCATGAAATTTATTACCTTTTATTATAAAAGTTCCCGTCAAATTTAAAACGTGACAATATCTCGATCTCTATAAAATTTTACGATCGATATTATGTTTAATACAAATAAAAAAATAAATAAATTGACAAATGGAGAAAAAGTAAAAGTTAATTCTGTTAAAAAATATAACATTAGTATTGCCGACGCAGTAGGTCCTAAATCCCTCGGGAGATTGCCGAGTCATGCGTTTTAAATTTGATTTGCATCAAATCGAATTTCAAATCTAACTTATAATGTTATATGTTTTACTATTTTGGTATTTATTTTTATATCCGTTTTAGCGTAACTAATTGATTAATTTTTCGATGTCCAAGTATATAACATTTAAAACTTAATTTACTTTTATGAAAAAAAATTTTTATTACAAAATTATTATAAAATTTTATATTAAAAAGAGATCTTTTTTATTATTTTTTCAATTAAATTATACTCTTTACATGGAGAGAAATTTATAGGAATCTTTCCAACAATTATGGGAATGGATCTTATAATAAAATTATCATTATAGGCATTAATCCTATACTCATTATGGGAACCATACCCATAATTTATTGGAAACGTTCCCATACAATAATGGAATAGCTTCAATATATTATGGGAATGGTTCCTATAATATTATGGGAATGACGCACATAATAATAGAAAAAAGTTTATTTTCTTAATAATGAAGCAATCACTTCAAAAACATAAA